AAAGATAGGTCCATTTTTTCGGGTAGCCCCAATATAAGGGTACCCCCCAATTTTCGGTATTTTGGGGTTCTTGAACGCGTTTTTCAACCAAATTCTTTGTAATGAGGTTTTTTTGTAGTCGTATATGGTAACAAACCTCTCTCCCAAAAAATATTAATATTAGCCCCCTTTTAGGGTTAGTTCCCTTATAACCCCCTTTTTATACCCTTCACCACACTGTGGTATAGGATAGACCCACGTTTCCTTTTGTGAATATGCATGGATTTCAGTAAAGTATACGTAATTCCCAAATTCATTAATGGAAATAGGTATTTTGTCAAAAACCTAATGGTTTTGGGTGGGTTTCCGACGTGTCTGACGTATGTAATATACGTCGAAAATGTATGTCATTTACGTCACAGTTTCTGACGGACCATCTCTGTATAGCTCCCATATATATTTTCGACCCATTTTAACTTATTAATGCATCAAAGTCCCAATTGTGGTCCGATTGAGACAAAATTTTGCACAGAGTACTGAATTAGGTATGAGAAATTTTGTTGGAATCGGTTCAGATTCATATAAATATGCTATATATAGTTTCGTCCGATTTTATGTTAATGGAGCACCATACTGCCAATATTTATCCGATTGAGACAAAATTTTGCACAGCGTACTAAATTAGGTCATTGATGAATGCGAAGTTTTGTTGAAACCGGTTCAGATTTAGATATACCTCCCATATATAGTTTCGTCCGATTTAAAGTAAATTGTGCACCAAACTCCCAATATTGGTCCGATTGAAGCAAAATTTTGCACATAGTACTGAATTAGCTCCCGACTGATGTATGCGAAATTTCTATATCTACAGGATATTGTAGATATTAACATGTCTTGCATGTACCCATAGTGGTGAAGGGTATCATATAGTCGGCCCTGTGCGACTTTTGAACTTTCCTTACTGGTTTCTTCCTGTTCTTACCATAAACACTAATTTAATGACTATAAATGCAGACACTGCAGAAAAAAAAACAGCAAAATCTAAAATGTCGCGTGAGTGCCCGAGAAAAATCCTTCACAAATAAAGGATATGCCAAATTTTTAAAGTGCAATAATAATGCTTGGTATCTCTTATTCATGTAAAGAATATTAAAAAAATCAAAATATCCAAACAATTCGCAGAGTTTTCCAATTATTAGTTGTGATGTCTAAAGTCTTGTATATTTGAAGTCGCGTGAGTGACCGCTCTTTTGTGGCTTTTATCTCAAAAATTAAAAACTATAAGCTCCCAATTTTTTTACCACTGATAGTACTCCAAAGTTCTACAAAAAAGTATTAAAGGAGAATTGTAAAAAATCTAATTGTTTTCGATTTATTTATGATTTAAAATTTTATTTTGCCTCTGAAAGTCGTGTAAGTGACTGCGGAAAAGCCCAAATGTCTAGATCGACTCAGCTTTTTCAGTTCGAACTATTTTTTCCCATTTCTTTTATACCACTCTCGCACATGTACATACATTTATTCATAGACACACCTCAAAAACAGTTTATAGACAAATAGGGGAAGAAATAAGTTCAACACAAACTTTTTTCCGCTCGATAGTTCCTACAATGTGGGATGGTGATGTTTGCTCCCTTTTGTTTTTATATTTTTGTATGCATGTGTTTTGTTTTACTTCACTTTTTTACCTAGACTATAACTATGGAGTTATACTAACGGCAATATAGGGGCATACCAGATAAGGATTGTTGATGATCATAAGAGGATGTTGCATTGTTGAGGCTATATTGGGAAGATGTGGAGAGTGCAGACGATGCTCTGCTCCAAAATGCTGACCTGGACGGCAATGATGGCGGGGACGACGATGATGATAAAGGTTTGGTTTTTTATTCCACAAATTGCTTACAAGCACTAAAACACAAAATGTGAGTTTGCCAACAATAGCAACAACCACTTGCACTCACACACCAATTTGGCCAAGAGACAAACTATCTAGAATGGTTTTGTAGATTCACTATTCCATCCGGACAAAACAAATAAAACCTACGGGAAAGTTTTGACGTTAACGTAAATGCAAGCAACAAATATAAAAACCTACAACGTTCCGCCCATAGAAGACTCCTTGCATGAAGTCAGATGTGTGTGTGTGAATTTATATTTTTCTTGCCTGGCCACTGCACAAGGACACTGTAAACATGATTTTGAGGTTTTCTATGTGGTGGACATAATATTTGTTGGAGATGCTGTTGTTGTTATTATTCCTGTTGAGCTATTGTGTACTTCATGTGTGTACAATCATTACTGCAACAACAAAAACTACTTGAAACATTTTTATTCGCCTGTGTGTTTCTGTTTTATTTATCCCATTCTTCGAAATATATGTGGGATAATACAGTAAGTGGGATATTAGAGATTTGTGGTTAAGGGAAACTTTTGGGATACAATGGATCGTTGTAGTAGCATTTAAATCAAAACATACACATACATTCGTACATGCATATGTGTGTTTGTGAATGATGGTTTGTAACAACAGTGGTTTTGACATGAAGAAGCCCTGGCAGTTTTTAAGAACATAGAGATAAATTGGACTATATAAACATACCTTTTGGTTTTTATACACATAAGAGCGATGATGTATTAATTAATTATTACAACAGACGGACGGACATGGCTAGATCGTATTAAAACTTTTCTTTGTAGGGTCGGAAATGATTATTTAGATGAATTCATAACTTATATATCACATGTTCCTTAATAAACATATACTTATAAATGCTACCCTTATATATTTCGTATATTTTATAAATGTTTTTGCATGTTTTAACTTTCATTGCAGGACCTTGGCAAGAAATACGGACAGATAATATTAAACAACATTTTAAGTGTTGGCGGTTTATTTGGGATACCATTTGTATTTTGTTTTTGCAAAATAGTCAGGCTGATTCCTGTTTGTTGTCTTTATAAAAACAACTATTTATTAGTGGGGAATGTATGGGGATTGTATGACTTGTTAACCTCGAAGTGAGGCCCCAGCGGAATTCTCATGCAGTTTATTTCGTTGGTCAGCTAAGTACTTCGCTTTTTTGTATAGAAGTAATTATCCGCTGCCATAATTTCGTGAATATAGAATAAACATAGACTCCTCGGTGCGCCATTTCCATAGAATCCGACGAAAATGTAGCTATATCTAAATTTGAACAGAATTTCATTTTGCGGACGACCACCTGCAGTAAATTCAGGACGCTGTGCAAAATTTTGTCTCAATCGGACAATTATATTGACAATATGGTGCTCCATTTACATAAAATCGAAGGAAACTATATATGCGAACTATATCTAAATCTGAACCGAGCCCTACAAAACATCGCATACATCAATCCAAACCTAATTCAGTACGCTGTGCAAAACTCTGTTTCAATCGAACAAATATTGGCAGTGCGGTACTCCATTTACATAAATCGGACAAACCTATATATGTGAGCTATATTTAAATCTGAACCAATTCCATCAAAACTTGGCATACATCAATCTGAACCTAATTCAGTACTCTGTGTAAAATTTTGTCTCAATCAGACCAATATTGACAGTATGGTGCTACATTTACATAAAATAGGACGAAACTATATATGGGAGCTATATCTAAGTCTGAACCGATTTAAACAAAACTTGGCATATACCAATCAAAACCTAATTCAGTACTCCGTGCAAAATTTTGTCCCATTTGAAAAAAATATTGGGAGTTTGGTGCACCATTTACATAAAATCGGACGAAACTAGACATGAGAGCTATATCTAAATTTGAACCGATTTCCTCCAATTTTACCACTTATGTCAAATAAACGGTACGTGGCAAATTTCATCCAATTCATTCACAAAAATACATGGACGGACCGACGGACGTTCATAATTCGACTCAGAAAGCGATTCTATGCATATTCTCAAACGGAACCATGGGTCTATCTCGATTCCTTTTGCCTGTTACAAACATATGCATAAAGACATAATACCCTATACCACAGTGTGGTGATGGGTATAAAAAGAGAAAAATTTGAAAATTGTTCGGTATTGGTTTTTAAATAATTCCCACATTTGCTAACGAAGTTGCGGGTATATGATAGTTAGGTAGTAAATGTATTTTAACATAGGTTTCCAGTGGGGTTTTAATCGAGTTTAATGAAAAACTTGCCATTAATTAGAACGTACCAATTTAGATTCATGATTTACCATCTCTCCCAAACCAAAGCCATGCTTAATTTTCGGTATCTTTTCTCACCGGAAAGACTGTAACTTGGTTTTTCATTTTCCCAAATAAAAATCCTACATGCATACAATTTCACAATGACACAGTCAGCATAAGAATTTTCCGACCTTTTTATGAAATTTTGAATACATACTATATGGTGGAGTGTTACTTATTTATTATATAACATATTTTAGGCGCACTTTCCTACATCATTTATATGGGACTGCAAACTTCATTTCAAATAACCATTGAAACCAAACCGAACTTAAAAACTTTATTAATTTATTAATTAAACAATATTATTTCTTGTTCGCATACACAAACATTTATTTATTTTCATGATTGTACGTTGTTAAAAAAATTCGACATATGTAATCCATTTCATCATTTCAAACCACTGTACAATTTATATTAAAATTGGCAAAAGGCACATGCTGATTTTTTGTATACTAAACTAAGAAGGACTATAACGGATGAGGGGAGTACAAACATATGATCGAATGGTCAGACAAATGCCTAGACAGAATGTCGGGCCCAGTTAATGCTCTAAGCTGGGGTCACCACTTTATTCCTCAATTGTACAGAATTTGGAATGCTGGCGTGATATAATACTCTTGTGATGATGGTGCTGTTGTTGTTGTCGCTGCTGCTGTTGGTGAGTTTGATTTTGATTCGGATGTTGTTGATGCTGCTGCTGTTGCATTTGGTATTTCGATGAAGAAAGCATGGAACTCTTTGTTGGCGTCATTGTTTGGTTGCTTGTTAAATTCCTGGATTGTTAAATTTCCATTTTACTACGGCTGCTGCTACTACCGCCACTACCGCTACTACCACCATAACGCAGCTTATTGTGATTGGTGTGATGCACATAAATACCGGTATCACGCAACTTCCGGTACAATGAAATATACTTTCCAGCTGTTGTCGTCCTAGGAACTATATACTTTTCACAGAATGTTGTTTTACTGCTGGCCGCCTCGCTAAACTTCTCATACATCAGTGCTTGCAGGAAGGTCAATACAAAAGTGTAGCAATTGAGCTTATCCTCGTGATAATGTGACACAGTTCACTTGTCCGGCTGCTGGCATACCTAGAAATAATCCATATACAGTGAAGAGAAAACGGAAAAGAGAAAATGTCAGAGTTAGTACGTCGTGTTCGTTTATAATGTATGCACAAAAAATTATATATGCATTTGTTTTCAGTTTTTGGTCTTCGACCATGTCATGCAATGGAGGAGGATTAACGTTATGACATCAAGTGATTTACGAAATGAGCGCCGAAATTGGGCATGGTGTTTACTTTTACGTTATGATAAGGAGGTATGACAACAAAATGCAAATTGCTTATGTCAGTGCAATTGTTTTCTGGGATTATTATAAGGGTAACGATTACAGAAATGCTTTTAAAAATATGTTTAAAAATTGAGGCTTAAAGGTTGGATGGAACCAAAAAATATATTCTTAAAAATTCGACTTTTAGAATTTTGATAAAATTTTTGTTCTTACAAGATTTGGAAAGGACCGTAAGCATGGATTTTTTTGTAAATTAATTGTTTAATGATTATAAGGGCTACTAGGAGGTAGAGTTTTAATAAATATTTTAAAGAACCAGAAGGACCACATGTGTATATTTTTGTAATAAAATCTTTTTAAGACAATATGGATCTCAAGCGAAGTTCTTTTAATAATTATAATGCCCAAAAACGTCGATTTTTTAACATATTTTTTGGAGGTCCTCAAGAATAGATTTGAATACCATACACAACTATCTTTTAAAGGTATTATATCAGTGTGTGATACTAAGAGTTTATAACGCCTCGAAATAATTTTAATATACCTACCGTATTATCTAGACTTGCTAAGTCGTCTAGATCGACTTATCCGTCTTGCCATAATTATTTGTAAAGCAGTTATTAATTTTTTTTATTTAATCGTCACAAAATTTTGCATGTTATATCGGTAGGGATCTAGACTATTAAATTCTCAAATTGTACATCTTAAATTTGAAACCAGTAAGGAAAGTAGTCAAGTCGGACGGGGCCGACTATATGATACCCTTCGCCACTTTGGGTATATTCAACAGATGGAACCCTAACATACGTCGTATTTTTGAAGGACCATTAACATGAAACTTAACATGTCATTTTGCAACCTATACTAAATTTTGGTCAGATATAGAGTTGCAATGGGACAAAATTATGTAAATAAATTTAAAGCAAAATATGGAAATCTAAACCGATTACATCGAAACTTGTCACATGTTAGGTTACACTTATTTCAGTATGTTTTGTGCATTCGGCCACATTTTGCGTTCTTCATTTACTTATAAATCCAAATTTCGTGCAAATCGAAGGATATATAGGGACTTTGGTGCACCATTTACATAAAATCGGAAGAAAATATATATGGGAGCTATATCTAAATCTGAACCGATTTTGACGAAATTTAACACACATCTTTCTAGACTTAATTCAGTACGCTTTGCCAAATTTCGTGCAAATCGAAGGATATTTAGGGACTTTGGTGCACTATTTACATAAAATCGGACGAAAATATATACGGGAGCTATATCTAAATCTGAACCGATTTTCACGGAATTTAATACACATCGTTCTAGACTTAATTCAGAACTCTGTGCCAAATTGCGTGTCAATCGAATGATATAAAGGGACTTTGGTGCACCATTTACATAAAATCGGACGAAAATATAGATGGGTGTGTTCAATAGGGTGTGTTCTTGGGCCAAATAAATGAACTGTGCCAAATTTCATCCAAATTGGATGATAAATGCGACCTGTACTTGGTTTACAATTTAACATAAAGAAACGGACGGACGGACATGCATAAATCGACTTAGAAAGTGTTTCTAGGCATATTCTCAAAAGGAACCATGGGTCTATCTCGTTTCCTTTTGTCTGTTACAAACATATGCACAAAGACATAATACCCTGTACCACAGTGTCGTGATGGGTATAATGATAATAAATTGAAGCTGTTGACCAATAGCGTGCAAATATCGCGACATATTGCCCAGACTCGAAATATAGATCGCCAGAAAGTATGTTACCCTACACGTATCCGACTATACAGCTCCGCTCACTGGCTTAAAAATCGACTGTAGAAGGCAGCAAATATTAGTTAAGATCCGGCGTCTTATGCGAAGGTTAGCAGGAGAAGCAAAAGAGAAGAACTCTACTATGCAGTGATCGATGGTACACGAAAATGGAGACTTATAAGAAGGTGATGGATGCGGGTCAATAATAAGACCATGAAGTATTTGGATTAAACTACATAAATTACCATTCTATGTATATGCAGAATACAGTCATACTTAATCTGGAATACCTAACTTCAGTAACTTCGGTAGAGAAATTAGGGCTTTCTAATTGGACTATGTAGAAGTATGGATCGGAATGTCAAACTTGAGCCAAATTGCAGATAAAACCCCTAAAATAAAATGTATGGGAGCTATATCTAATCTGGGACCTATAAATAAAATTTTCTGAAATCATATTTTTCATTTTCTAAAAAAAAAACAACTTCGGTGGGGAAATGCCACTACAACGTTCAAGCTATAGCAAAAGGAACGGGACTTTAATATGCGGGCAATGACTAAAATTAACCTATATAAAACTGCGGCAAAAGATATTTCACAGTTCAAAAACCAATAAAATTTAAAAATAAACGGCAGTTGTAACCAGTGAGCGGAGCAGTATAGTCGGACGGGGCCGACCATATGATACCCTACACAACTTCCATGAAAATCTAATTTTCTGTGGTTCTATATTCTGAGATTGGGCAATATTTGCATACTTTTGACTGGCTAGAGGTTAGCAAATGTTACTAATAATCAGTACAGCACCTCTAATTACTTGTCCAGATTCCCTTCACCGTGGGTTGTGTTGTGATGTTCGGCTTTCGATGCGAAAAGTACAAATAATTAAGTTTTCGGTCCTCTTCATCCGAAAAAATATTATCTGATCATCACCTAACATTTTAGGCGTTGTCCTTGACCATAACTGGAACCTCATGGAACATTTCAAAGCGATCAAAGCTATATTTCCGCCCTCCAGTGTGGTAATAGGTTACTAAATAATATATGAATACGTAAGCACCTGTAAATATTTAAGTGTAACTCCCGCATCCAAGTACCTACGATAATATAATTGGTATCAATTTAAAGGCCAACGACTCCTCTTCGATATACTATCAAATGCTCTGGTCTATGTCCTTCAGTGGTAAATATATACGCTATAGAATACAAATTTTGTAATTTTTCACACAAAAGTCAAGGTCCATTTGACCCGCTAAATATTGACCGATCTTTATCAAAACAAGTATGCATATTCTTAGGCCCGATCACCTTCTCCATGTAAAATTTCACTATGTTCGGACCATAATTGCGGCCTCTGGAGCGACCAGAAAAACCGACAAAAATATAGTATTTGGTCCATTTCATCCTCTAAATATTAACCGATCTTTATCAAAAACAAAAGGGGTCTTCATTGGCTAGAACCCATCCTACATGCAAAATTTCGTGAAGATTGGTACATAACTGTGGCCTGTATCGTGTTTACAAATTATAATGGACAGACGGACGGACGGACACACATATCTAGATCGACTCAGCTAGTCGAGATATGACGATCGGTATACTTAAAGGTGGGTCTAGGACCAATATTTCGCGGCGTTACAAACTTTTGGGGCTGCACAAAGCTATAATACCCTGACAACATAGTTGTGTTGGGTATAAAAATCAAAGCCTTTTATTGTCCCTTCCAAAAAGAATCTATTAAAAAATCCATGCCTTGTGTTGGTCCTTCAAAAAATATCCCTTTAGAAAACTACGCATTGTGTTGTTCCTTCCAAAAAATATTTTTTTAAGAAATCAATGCTTTTTGTTGTACCTTTCAAAAACTCTCCATCAAAAACCCATCCCTCGTATTAATCCTTCGAAAAAATATTCTTTAAAAATTTACATGGTTTGATCCTTCAAATAAAACATTTATTTTTAAATCCACGCCTATGTTGGTCCGTAAAAATGTTCAAAAAACCTCTATGACAAAAATTCCGCGCATTATCAAAGGTCACATCTCACTGCATCCTGACAGGATATTGAAAAGCTTTTTTTTGAATATTCCTGCATTTTTTTGCACCAAATTTGCATTACAAATGATACCAACATTGCATAACTTACCTCAGATAAAACCTGATCCCAATAATCGTACCAGGGCTCTGGAACATTACCCACCAATAGACATTGCCACCAATCTGTCATATTGGCTGTACGATGACGTCGTAAGCCATGCCGATCAAATTCGACGACACAACCGGTCGATGTTGTCACAGCAATATGCAAATCCGTGGTATTATTATAATCACTGAAAAAAGGGAAAGAAAAGCCACAATTATGCATACAAACACACACCCGTACACATGAAGAGAGATTTCATTACAAAGGGGTATACATACACATGGATATACATACATATATGAAAGGGAAATGGAAAAGAAACATTAAGTTCAAGGATATAATTGATTTAAGTGTGGATTTCCCAGCGAAAAGGGAAATAAATTGAAAAACGTATTCGATAAAAATTGAAATGATGCGGGAAGATGGATGTGGAATGGAGAGAGAAAAAACAATGAACCATACTTGCTCACTTGAGAAAATCACCTGCGGTAGGACGTAAAACTATAGTACAAGGATATTGATTGGCCCGCATAAATTGATAAGGTAAACAGAATGGCAAGAGGAGACTGTTCATAATGTGACAAACAGAATCATTTGAATTCTCATCGTCATCTGAGTCCTGATCCACTGTGGCCTGATGTTGTTGGTCATTGCCATTATGCCATTGATCATCATCATTATCACGATTATTGTCATTATTAACATCATCATGACTGTGGGCATAATGTCCTTTAGTGACTGCCATTTGGACATTATTTGTAGCTGGAGTTCTTTTCTTGGACTTGGGTGGTTTGTTTGTAAGACCACCACCACCGTTGGGATGTGTGTCCAATGCCGTTTTACATTGTGGACAAATGTGTGGCAATGTAAAACAGAAAACTTTCACATTGCAATGATGGAAGCATAAAATGCCCGGATCTGAGGTAATTGTGGTCGTTGAAGTTGTTGTTGCCACTGCTGCTGCTGTTGGTTTATTTGTTGTCGATTGTGGTGATGCCACCGAGTTTGTAGGAATTCAACCAGGCCACTACTACCACTGGCAGCAGCAGCAGCACCTGCAGATGAAATACTTTTACTCATGATTCTTGTTGTAATGCTTTGAGTGGATACCAATGCCGATGCTGCTGCTGTGGATGATACCTTGGCCAGAAGCTATAAGCATTGTTGTTGTTGCTGCTGTTGTTGATACCGTTGTTAACGTCGATGTTAACATGAACTTTTGTTGTTGTTTGTGCTATCCTCCTCCTTCTTTTTGAACACAGAAAATTGAATAACTTTTATTGTGTTCACAGCAATTGTCTGATTCGAATAGAGGCAGAGGTACAAAAAATTTTTGTTTGAAAGTTCGGTTTCACTCAACCACGAGTGTCGTCGTCCATCTATATTCTTTTAACTTCTTCGATTTTTTTTTGCCTTGATCAATAAATGGAATGTATGTGGTTTTAATTTAATTTCAAAGAGAGGATAAAACAAGAGAAAAACGTATTTTGGTTCGTACGGATCGAACGTTTTATACACTACACCATGTTGTATACTTTCAAAATATTTTGAAATGTGTAGACCTTTGAGTGGGAAGTATGCCATTCGTAACAGTCTGTTACCAATGTATTTCAAAAATAAATTAAATACCATGAAAAATTGGTAGTAAATTCACCTCAATTGTATGTTGAATTTCATTTTCTTTGTAATGAAAGTGTGCATTGATCGTTGTCTGAGAAGAAGCACCATGAACCTTTAACCTGCGAAAATGACATATATGTGGAGGATATGTCAAATAATCGACCTATTCTGACCATTTTCTGTAAAGATTCCAAAAATCCGAAATGGCAAATTACATCCACTTTGGTAGAGAATCCTACAAAATATCTAAGATGGGGTGGTACCTTATATGGGCGCTATATCGAAATATGGACTTATATCAAAAATTCTCTGAAGAGATTTTGTACTCTCTCCAGGAACACAATACATCCAATTCAGTGGATAAAATCAATTATAGAATTCAAAATTCCAAAAAATCAAAAAAATGTTTGACATCCTTCAAGAAGCTGAAACACCAAAGTGTGAAGTCTTCCACTGGAAGAAGAACAAAGAGTGGACTCTCCTTTTAGTAGGCTTGGACAGGTCTTCAGTGGCACGTCTGACAAAGACAAGGGGTAACACGCAATACGTGCCCAACCCTTTGAGCACCGATTTTTTTCCGTGACACTAGGATTATATTCTGTGCACATATTTAATGTAACTACACAGAAAAAAAAATTGTAACCATTTGATAAAAAAATTCAAAAATCCAATTAAAATTTGATTGATTTTTCGCCGATAAAAATAATGTTCATATTTACAATCGCCGATAAAAAAATTGTAATCCCATTCGAAAATATTTTGATAAAGCAATTCTCATACATATATACTAAAAATTTTGTTGAATTTTATTTTGTTAATCGATAAAATATTTTTCATATTGACAATCTTGTTTATCAAATTATTATTATTTCAAATTAAATTTCTTGTAGTACGATACAAAACCTTTTAAACAGCAATTGCCGATTTTTACCCTTATTATTACAGCTCTCCCACAAAAATACCTCCAAATTTTCAATATTTTAACGGCTTTAAACTAAATGTGTAGCTCTATACCGAATAAAAACTTATATTTGTTATCCATCTTTTACAATCTATTCAACAAAGTACTTTGTAATAACGTAATAAAAAATAATATGGCATATTACAAAAAAAAAATTATTAAAAATTGTCCAACAAATTTAATATTTTTTTTGGTCTCTTGTTGAATGACTTATGCTAAACATCCTTCTAAATTGACATCTTGTGGAAAAAATGGGTAAAACTAGCAATAAGTACGTTTTTAACCTTGAAATGATTTTTTGTTTTTTTATGATTTTTTACGTTTAGGCTGATTTTTTTTTTGTTTTAGTCCATTCTGAGACTTAAAGTAAAACATTATGGCGAACATTTCTGTAGAATATTCCGAGCACCTTTAACCCCGTTTGTAATGAGTTTTCAATTACCTCTGGAAAAAAGACCCCTTCAATGAGTCGGTTGCACGTTAAAGTAGTACACTAAAATATTCCTCGATATTTTATCAGTAATATTGCCGAAGACACTATATACCTAAAATGCAAGGATTTCAAGAAATAATAATTCGAAAAGTATCAAAATTCTTCAAAAGGGGGAATACTGTCCCCCCTTTTTAGGTTACCACCGACGTAAACTTTCAAAACGTAACTTTCAAAAGAATACACGTGTATCGGATCTTCTTTTTTAGCCCCTCTTTCATAATCTTTTGACACTTCCCGGTAATTATCAAAAACTAAGGTTTTACCCCCATTAAAAAGGGGGTAAAACCTTTTGTCCTTTTTTGTAGAATTTCTGTTTTACTTTTCCGCGCCATTGTAAAATTTATTCGAATACAACTTCAACAGCATCTTAAGTGGTTTCGTTGTATTATATAGTTTTCTTTCATTTTTATACCCTCCACCATAGTATGGAGGGTATATTAGTTTTGGTTTTCCGTTTGTAACGCATCGAAATAATAATTTGCGACCCTATATTCTTGATCAGCGTAAAATTCTATGACGATTTAGCCATGTCCGTCTGTCTGTTATAATCACTCTAGCGTCTAAACGAATTGAGATAGAGCCACAAAATTTTGCATAGAGTCTTTTGTCTGCAGGCAGGTCAAGTTCGAAGATGGGCTATATGGGTCCACGTTTAGGCATACCTCCCATATAAGGGTACCACCCAAATTTCGGTATTTTGGGGTTCTTGAGCGTGTTTTTCAACCGAATTCGCTGAAATTTGGTACTTTGGGTTATTATTGGGTAGCAAATCTCCCCACTAAAAATTATAAATATATTTCCATTTTTTCGGACAGCCCCCATATAAGGGTACCCCCAAATTTCGATATTTTGGGATTCTTGAGCGTTCTTGAGCGAATTCGCTGAAATTTGGTACATTGAGTTCTTATTGGGTATCAAATTTCTCCACTAAAAATTATAAGTATAGGTCCACTTTTTCTGGTAGCCCCCATATAACGGTACCTACTAATTTTCAATATTTTGGGGGTTTTGATCGTATTTTTCCGCCGAATTAGCTGTAATTTAGTATTTTGAGTTCTTAATAGGTCCTAAATCTCCCCACAAAAATTATAAATATAGGTCCATTTTTTTGGACAGCCCCCATATAAGGGTAGTCGTATATGTTACCAAATCTCCCTACCAAAAATTATTAATATTCGCCCCCATTTTGGAGTAGTCCCCCTTTTTATATTAAAATGGTTATCTGATTTGTTCCGCGTTTTGAGTTTGTTTCTAAGTCTGTGATGTAATCATTTTACCTGCGTAGGATATCGAGATAAACAAGTAGAACGTAAGGTTCGATCATGAATTATAACCCGCATTTAGACCTAGCCCATGTATGAAGGTTCCAGAAGAAGTGGATCGATATTCCCCATTTTCGAATTTGACTAAGATTGTAAGAAATAATAAGATCGACAAAGTTTGGATGAAATCTAGATTTTTTGAAACGGATTTGGTCCAAAGAAACGTGGGGTCTAGAACCAATATTTCGATTAGCCACATTTTCACCGAGTTAAACAGTATATTCCCTCAATAGCGGTAAATCTGGGGGTATAATTATCCATTAAAAATGTCGGTATAAGTTCACTTTTTGGTATGTTCCCTATATTTTCATTTCTAGTACCTGTCAGTATATCTATGGTGGAGGGTATTCACGCTTTTTCACTTGTTCGTCTTAATGTCTTCATTTTGGTGTTGTTGTTGCTTTGTTGTGGCATTATTTGCCACTCTATTCATTGGAAATGTTTAGCGGTGTTTGGTCGGTTGGTTGACCTATCATATATTTGGTGTAAAAGGTTGTCAAACAAAAAGTTTAGCGTTTTGCGAATGCTAATGGATGGAGAGGTATTCTTTACGGAAGGAAAAATGTTATTAACTAGTTAGTCGTAAACACCGACTGATACTTTGTTACTCAAAAACTATAATTTTTCATTAAATGCTGGGACACTTCTTACTGGAAACCCCTATACAGCAATGTCAATTCCTATCCTTGACTCATTACACCAAATGCATGTCTCTCTTGTCTTCTACAATAATTCCCATTCTTCCTGTTATTCATTGTTACCAATAATGCTCAAACATGTTTTCCGATTCTATTCACCATCCACAATCAACCGTATGACACAAGCTTATATTAAGTCCATCCATAACATCCTCATCCCATATGAGTTTTTATAGATTTCTCTGTTGCTCTTGGCACTCTTTTGTTTTCATGACTACGACAACGATGAGGACGATGAAGTTGATGATGATGATCATCATCGGCAGCAGCAGCTTACTTTTGGTCATATCTGTTATTCCCAAAAACATTTCACATAGTAAGCATAGATATTGTTATTAACAGCAATAGGTAGAACAGTAGTATCAGCAACCATACCTATATTCAACAACAAATGCTTATTAGGTTTGGTTCAAAATTGAGACATTTGTATGCAAAGAGTTTTGAATTTTAGTTCAAGCATCGATAGCCGCTGTCGAAGTGGTTAATATTTTGCGGTTGGGTATGCGGTGCGTATGAGATTTTGATTTTTTCGGGCTGGTTATGGAGATTGTGGTAATCTCAATTACAAGCATTTTGAATTCCAAAATACACTCGTTAAAAGTCGCATTTTTGAAGGACCACTAACATGAAAGTGGATCCATAAACATGCCATTCTCCAACCTATACTAAATTTTTCATTTGGTCAGATAAAGTTGCTTTTTTACAATGGAACAAAATTATGTAAATCAATTTTAAACAAATATGAAACCAGTTTAGTCGGACGGGGCCGACCATACGATACCCTACACAACTACCACGGAACTCAAATTTTCTGCGGATTTTTATTCCGAGCCTGGGCAATATTTCGTGATATTGGCATCCTCTTGCCCGATTAGAGGTAAACAGCACCTCTTCCTCACACTGACATATTTTCCGAATATTACGAGTATTCAGTACAGCTATTGTCCAGATTCCCATCACCGTGGGTTGTGTTGTGATGTTCGGCTTTCATTTGTGGTCTATATATCGACTCGAAAATAACACAAAAAATTAAGTTTTCGGTCCACTTCATTCCCAAAATTATTATCTGATCATCCCCGAAAATTATAGGTGTTGTCCTTGACTATAACTGGAACCTTA